TCGTCGAACTGACTTTGGCCGACGACTTCTTTCATTCTTGTCAGCATGCTCACGGCTGACTGATCTCCTAACTCGATGTTACGAAATAATTCATCTAGACGTTGTCGGTCCGTGAGAACGTTTCTCCTGAGGAGGGATGCTTTGAGCAACTCGTACGAGTTACTTACCTCGGGACTCAACATCTGTGATGTTACGTACTTGCTGAATTCCCGCGGTAGGGCGTGAATAACTGCAAGTAACTGTGAACGTTGATCGGTTATCCCATGCTCACAAAAATCTGCTTCAGCTAGCAGAAACCACGTTTCAGCATTATCTGGCCAGTATGGTACGAGCTGAATGGTTTTAGGAGTTGAGCGGATACGGATGACCTTGGGACTAAGATCACTCATGACGAAAATTATGTCGAATAATATATGGTACAAGAACAAATACAAAATGGAACGAACTCACCGGGGTTATCTGCGGATTTATCGTGGATGAAGTTCGCGGTTGGGCTCACCAGTTTAGAGGTTGACGGATATCTCGTTCAGCAACTTCTAATTAATTTATTCTCGCGTACCAAAGACAAAGCAAAAGCCAATAATTGATCGTCCAAACCAAGAGATATATTTAGGAACCAAAACAAGCCGTTAGACGAACGCTTAGCTAGCTAGTGATCGTGCACGTGACACGACGGGTACCAAATGGCGGGGATGCTTGACCGGAAGCCTTCAGCTAAACAAGTCGACTTAAACAGTGGTGGTCAGCATCCAATGAGTGATTGCTGTGGTCAATAATTTTGGGGAATTATTTACCGCTACATATCTATCCATCGACATTTTACAGTTATGCTGTCAAAATTATCATTTGAGAATTTGAAGGAGACGTTGCTGGCAAAAGACCACTGAGAATTATAAAAGCAGCAACACCACCACCTCGCTTCTTCCTTGGACTGCTTCGGTTTTTTCTGTACATATTGAAACCACTCAGGGGATTAAATTGTCATTATATTAATCGCGGAGCCAAGGTTCCTGAAGCATTATTACACCGATATTACGATATATATTTGAACATAATAGAGCATCCAAGTAATTAATCTTGTTCGATGATGACCTGAAACTTGTGCTCATAACCATAGGAACAGTCATTAAATGAATTGGAGTACACTCTAAGGATCGTTGCACCCGCCATGATGCTTTTTCTTAAGGCTATTATAAACTCGTAAATCATCAGGTTGGAAACATTTTAAATAATACGATTTGGACACAACCGAATAATTAAAACAAAATAAACAATAAGTGACAGAAAATTATGGTAGCCCAAGGTTTAAGCAGGCGCCGAATAATAAAGTACATAGAAATCCACAAATATCTGTTGATTTTCTCAATAAACGATCTGTTACCTGGCTTTTGTCTTCCATCGTTACGAATTCCAGCATCCCTTCTCCACCCGAAATAACGCTTGCTGAAGGTAATATTTAACCTGCGTTTCGCAATCACTCAGGAAGGTGAATGAATCGAGAAAGCCTAGACAGTCACACCTAAGGGATTCGTTATTTAACAGACTTCAGTGTTAGGTAGAAACCTTGAAGGCATAGAGTACGCATAATCCACATGTGACTAGTAGATGTTCACAATACCTATAGAATTCAGTCAACTTGACGTGCCGAAAACTTTGTTGTCAAGGAAAACTACTGGTACAAAGTCATTGAAAATCCAGCTAATTTATAGGACTTGATTTCCTTCCCTACGAGATTAGTGTCAACTGCATTATTTATATATTGCATCATATGTGATGTTTTGCCTTCTCGGACTCTGATCACACACAATTAGACGGGTTTTGTTTTTCAATATTGTTGTTGAACTGAAGGGTTCATGTTGATACACTCAATGTGAAACCGTAACACTAATCCTACTTCAGAAGCACTTCCAGCGGAGCGTATTACATAGCAATGTACAGAGGTTCTTTTTAATATCCCTCATCATGTGTGGAAATATGTTCAGGGATATATTGTCATTGAGCACTGAAATTCTCTAAAATCATCAGTTCACAAAGGCATCGTAATAATCGGCCCCTGACCTGTTTTTGTGACAAACGGATGGCCTTGTAGAGGTAAATAATTCCCTAAAATTATTGGCCACATCACTCATCAGTGAACATTGGATGCTTACCCTCACTGTTTAAGTCAACTTGTTTAGCTGAAGGCTTTCGGTCAACCATCTACACCATTTGGTACTCCGTAGGGTCACGTTCGTGCATGGTCCCTAGCTTAACATATTTATCTTCGAATATTAAATAAAAACTGTCCACACAAAAATAAAATACAAGAATGCAAGAAAGATCAATAATCCTGCAAGTTCCAGCGAGGCGGTGATACAGCTGAGTTTGTTTTGGAGAGCTGCAGCGTTTGGAGCTAGGATGATGAGATCATCAGCATATGCTATGTAGTGTAAAGGATGGCCATCAACGTAGATGGGGTCATAGGCTTCAGGAACATTGAGTATCTCATCCATAGTCATGATGAAGAGAAGCGGTGACAGAGGGTCACCCTGTTTGACCCCCCGTGTTGGATGACACTTCACTTCGTGGAAGAGACTGTAGGAGTTGGATTAGTAGTTTGTAAGATATTCTCTAAGCATTGATGGCGCGGCAAAACTTTCAGCCCCCCTTAAAATTGTTTGGTGTAAAACGCTATCGAAAGCCTTCGAAATGTCGAGAATAGCTATTGCGCAACTTGTATAGTTGGAGTGCGCTTCTCTCAAGATGGTGTGAAGGAGACTAGTCGCTTCGAAACAGCCATCACGTTGCAGGAAGGCAAACCGTATTTTTCCATTGGGAATGATCTGGACCAGCGCTTGGCGATAATCTTGTGCAGACAGCGCGTAACGACAGAATTTATGGAGATAGGCCGGAATTCAGCAGGGTTATCCGGGTGTGATGTCTTGGGAATGAAGCTGACCCTGAAAGCTGACAGTGGTGAAGGTAGAAAAGATGTCAGCAGAAGAGTGCTTAGATACCCAGCCAGACTAGTGTGGTTAATTTTCTGGAGGTCCCTGGCAGTTATGCGGCCAACACCGGCCGCGGATTTGACCATTTCTTTTAGTGCCCATCTGATCTCTTTAGTTGAAACTGGGGCTATCAGGTCGTTATTAGTTGGAAGGTATTCCTGGACCGGTCTAGTGTCTGGTAAGGCTGGGCGCGTGAAGGTTTCTATCCAAAATTCATTGAAGCCTCTTATAGCAGAAGGCTGACATGTAAACGGGTCTCCCCATCTGCCATCAAATACCGTGTTCGCAGCATCTTTTGGCGATCGGTGGAAGAGCATTTGCATGTGGGTATATAGAATGCGACGCCTCTTCTTGTTGTTTAAGTTTGATGGGAGACCGGAGACGTATCGCTGCTTAGATGGTTTCCATCTTGTAGTGAACAGCTGTTGGGCATGCTTATCCAGAAGTTGACGTGTCTCCTCAAGAGTAATATCATTCGCATATAGCTGCAGGATAATTTGTCGCGTGGATTCAGTGTCCAGTCGCTGAGATGAATTTGCCAGTTGTGTTGATGGCAGCCATGAGGTTGGCATGTATATTGTCTATGCGGAGGCTTCTATGGAGTGTCATATTCACTAGGGGAGTTAAACCATCTTGAGTGAGTCCAGTAGTTGGCATAATTTTTCGTTGAGTCTCGTGTTCAAAGTTTGGAGTGAATGATGAAGTTCGCTCGGGCGAGAAGGCGTTGATAGTATAAGCTGGAACCGATTCATCAATATCAATAGTATCCAGAAGTGGTCGGGTCACTGACACAGCAGTGGGAGAATATAAAATTGTTCTGCTGACGGTACTTATTGCAATCGTCTTGCACTCCAATTTGTTCCCGAAGTATATCACTTAATTTGGACGATCAATTATTGTCTTTTGCTTTGCCTTTGGTCTACGCGGAACGAATACTATAGAAGTTGTGGGTATTTGATCTTGCGTTAGTGTACTTCGTACCATCCGTAAACGTCGATACCGTCAGCTTCTAAAACCTTGAAGTAAACGCTCCATTGTCTTGCCAGTGGCAAGCTGTCAGACCGCATTATACTGTTTGCTCACAAGCTGCTGAGACAAAAATATTTTCAAGTATTGGTTTTGTAGGGATTTTAGTTGATTGCATGGAGGATTTAATCGAACAAATCCCTAAAAAAACCAATACTTGAAAATTAATCTGATGCTCACTAGTGACTGCCCTATTCAGGCAGTTAACCTGGGTTCTAGTGGGAAGCGGTGACCAGTAGGGTACAGCAGGTTGAAGATGAGGCAGTAACTCATCGAAGAAGACATTGCGAAGTGGTCGCGCTATGTTGTGAACTGGCAGAAGTTATAATTCTAGGACCATTGGATCGGGTCCCAGTGGCTCAATGGTCTACGACCTCGCCTTGTAATCAGAAGGTCGTGGGTTCGAATCCTGGTGGGTGCGTACTGCCGAAGACTCCCACACTAGGACAGTGGAAACAGCTGTCCAGTGCTCCCAGGTTTTCCAGTGGTTTTCTAACTGATGTCGGCTCATGATGAAATCCTCCATGCAAACAAACAAATTTCTCAAATGAAAACAGCTTTCATGTGAGGTAAATTTAGCTTTGAAAAATCAAAACACCTAATACTGCTATTGAACTCTTATGTGCTGCCGTATGAATGCTGATGGGTCGGACAGTTGTGATTTTATAAAATATTCTGACCTCTATTCCTCATTACACACCTTAAATTTTTACAAAAGTTCTTCTGAAATGAATGTATATAAGTTCAATGATGCACATTGAAATTAGGATGAAGAATCGCTTAATATTCTCGAAGATTCATAAAAGTTTGACAGCAGGATTAACTATAGCAGCCATGCATTAAAGAATGAGCCACTGGGTGAGTAACACAGTGATGGAAATTAGTATCCTTTTTCAGTAGGAGAACAATTTCAATGAGCAAGATAACCACACTTCGTCAGGAGGTCCATATGCCCCATATTACATATACACTTTCATAACTAGCGAAATGTGCACCTCTGTTTTTATACGAGCACTTTTATCACACATAGGTATCAAAGTTTGAATTTGTTTTACTCCTCCGTTAATTGGCACAGTTTTCAGAGCCGCGTTTTTTCGTGGTTCCGTTACATTTTCCCTCGCCTGGTTTGTTAACTATTTTGTAAACTGGCTCTCGAAATATATACAGTGATTTTTGTTTGGATATGTGTGTGCATAAAATAAAGTGTAAAAGTTAAGCAATAGACACTGAGCAGGCGTGAACGCATTAATGATCTCATAGCGATGATAAATATATTCACCGAAGATCAGGAACCCATACCTCAAAATCAAGAGGCGAGCACAAATAAATCAAATTGATTTATACTAGCTCGTAAAAACGATATTGGATATGGCCTCTTGATTTTGTGCTATTCTAGAATAGCTGTCTGTCAAAATGGATTAGTCAAGAATCATACCAATTGTTCACGAACAAATAGGTCTTTAGTCAGATATCATTTAATTTTCTATGAGAGAAGACTAAATTAAGTAAGCCCTAGCAAGCATCCCAGATAGCATTGACTTCGGGTGCATTGCAGAATGTTTGGGGCGGACTGCAGAACACTAGCTCACTTTCTGGAATACGCCTGGAGATTTAGCCTCGAAGATTCTGCAGTGCTTTCGAAGAGAATGCTAACTGGGCCATTTAGTCAGATTATTTTTTGGTTTACCCTTTGTGTCGTGTTTTCCGAGCATAAAATCTTTAGTTTGTTTCTGAAAACCCCTAATATAATTAAGTACGCTTAAAATACCGTTGAAGCTTCCAGAAATCTCAGGAATGACTAGAATATCTGGAAGACTTTTACAAGGTATTATTTAAATTGTTATGATTTGCATTCGTACATAAACATTTAAGAACTGAGCAAGACACTTCGTGTATATTATCATAGGCAATATAATTGATACTCATGTAAACCAATCTACTATTTGGTGGTCTGAGTAATTTAGCGACATCAAATGAACACGTAGAAGCTTCCCCACTGATCTCCCAAGTATTTTACTGCAGTTGCCAAAGAAATATTTTTAAACCAATACCTCCTATCTACTTCACAACCTATCTTGTACCACAAAGACTAAATTTATCTTTGGTCATAAGCACATGAACTTTTTGAAAATCCTTGCCTATTACTGATTTCACCCTTAGCTTTTTTGCTTGTTACGACTTTCACCAAGTAACATTGCTAAGTAACACATGATAGTAATCTCCTTTCATGCTGTACAAAAGGCCCACTACCCCCTATTTATCCATCGTACTGTACTACCTAAACTTAGTGTAGTTATCTGTGTATCGTATGTATAGTAAGTATTTTTGCCCTCATATTCGAAACAGGTGTATTTTTCTAAAACTATATGCTTATCAAATCTTGTGATAGCTTTTTGCTCTGATTTGATATGCATATTAAAGTCGGTTACAAATGTAATTTTCAATTTAGTAACTTGTGTCGTAAAATGATTAAATAAACACAGACCTGATAAAATTCTATTCCAGTGCGTTCATTTGCTGGGATCATTTTATATTTTATAAGAAGGATGTTTAGTTGTAAATATGCGTAGAACTGTTGGTATCTCCTCCGGTAGTTGTTAAATTTATTGATAGCTACAAGTGTCTGTATTCTACTTCTTAAATTATCAATAAATGGTAATCGTCATCATTACGAAGAGTGACAGCTAAAATGCTCGCTACCGTTTACATGAATCACATAATTTCGTTTAATTTCATTGTTGGTGTACATTTTTATAACGAGTTGAGTCTTCAATTTTCGTATTGTCGATAGACTACTGCGACTATTTTAAGGTTGCACCTGGAACCACTGTGTCACAAAGAAACCAAAAGCGAGATTATAATGCACTACATTGTTCAAATTGCAGTCTAAAGTCGACCCATTCTGAGCAAGAATTCCAAATTTCACTTATGAGTGTGAGCTCAAAATTCAGTCGTACCTTTCAATGACTCTTTACTACAGAAATAAGACAAAAGGGCTCGGTGCATTCTCACAGTATCTGATGACTTTGAAAAACTTTCCTGTCAGATATATGTGCAGTAATTGTGGCTAAGAAAACACGGAGTCCTCTCTGAATATTTTTCCTCTCAAAGCACAATGATATAATCATTTTAGTTAATAATTTTGAAGTACTGATACAGAAAACAGGACAACAAGTTTCTTTGAAGATAAACAGTCAGCATACTGGTAGTAGAAATTTATTGTTGCACTAAAGTAGTGGCAACAATGTTGTGAACTGTTAATGTTTTCACTACAAATAAATACAGTGATAGTAGTTACTGATGTCATTCTGAAATATCACGCATAATATAAGCAGTAATTAATGTTGGAGAATATTTCCTAAAATAAGGTGCTTATTCCAGAATAAGAGCTTACATTGATGATTTGGAACAATTAGGTGATTCATATCGTGATAACAGATATCTAGATCAAAAAATGACGTGGATTGTTGTCTCTCTGTGGGTTCAACATAGAACTTTGCACCGATGTGCAGCAGTTCGAGTGGCTACACTCCCTCCATATAGCACACAAACCAAAAGAAGAAAGTAGAAGAAATGCAAAACAAAGACAGTAAACAGATGTGTGAGACAAAGGAATAGTAATAACGAAGAACAAAACAGTTTCATTGGAAATCATAAGTCACAAGGAGTGGATGCATCTGCGCTAGGCATTGACAACGATGAGTTTGAGCCATATCACCTATTGTCTCCAGCCATTGGTGTTTACCCTCCCGAGGACTCCAACAAGGAAGCCAGTCTACACCCCTCTACGTGGCTTAAACTAACTTTTGTGGGTTTCGTTGATCGATGAAGGCATGTTTTGGTTTGACCACCATTGGTTCTTTTCCAACCTTATCCATCCTATGTCAGCTAACGTCGCCCGTTGAGGAAGGTGATGACTAGACAGGCATACGTAGCACATATCCTAACCATCTCACCCAATCGATGTAACTTTACAGCCTCGTCTACTGATTTCCCCTCTTTAGGATTATTAGGCTACGATCGTGTATAGTTTCGGAAAAGTTTTATTGGTCACCTACCAAAAATATCTTTGTATAGTTTACTTACACGAAAGATCCTATTCATTTGTAAGTTCACATTACAGTTATTTAGGGTTATCGTGTATATTTTCATACATATCTATTTCGAGATGCACCTGTTACGTCAGTAATTACAATGAGTTATTATATACTCCATTTTCCCATGGGTACTGAGCTGTATTAGTCGTGATATTTTATGAAAAGTTAGGCTTCACTTTTTCGTAAAGGTTATTTAATCGACGTTTTTTGTTTGGATAATTGAGTTTTGTTTTTCTTACTCCAATTTTAGTTACTTCATGTCATTATCTGTACGTTGTTCTGTGGTAGTTGAAGAACTAGCTGCTGATAAATGTACTGTCAGTCGGCGTATTACACTTCGTGAATCTCAAATATCAGCTGTCCGAGATGATTTACAACAAATTCTTATTCGTATAACACCTTTAGAAAACTCTGGCAGTAAACAAATGATCAAAAAAAGTTTAGGCTATCCTGTCATTGAAATGAATCTTTATAAGAATTTTTTATCTCAAGGCAAGGCTACTATATGTTTACCAGCTCATTCTGTAAGGATTATGATTAGTAATTGTCCACCGGATAAACTGCGTTTCTTTCTTGGTACTCTTCGTACAAAATTCAATGAACAGTGAATAAACCGTTGAAGCGACCAGCTGTGCCAGATACTCCACCGACATCTCTTTCATTTTTGGAAGAAATTAGTCCATTACCTCCTCCTCCTAAAAAAATTTCTCGTTCTAATCTGATGAAATCAACAGAACCATTTCCTTGTGATATGTCAGTGATAAATTTACAAGAAGGTAAGAACAATGTGTGATAGCATCCAAATTTTGAATGTTTCAACATTCATTTTTAGTCTTTGGTGTTGGTATTTTGATAAAATTTAATTAAAACAATAACATACTTCCCAGTTAGAGGCTAGCTAAACTAATCTTCGTTCTGTTTGTTGACATTCATCTAAAGTCTTGTTTTTGTATACAACAGATTCAACTTTGCCTGAAAATCTCAGTCGTGCTAGTCATCAGTTTGTGTATGTAATGAAAAGTTGTCCTAGTGATTCTGCTGAGTTGTTTAAAACGATTCTAAGCATGAAAGAAACATAAACCAATGATATTCTTGTATCCCAGTTGTCATTAAAAATTCTCCAAATAACGGCAACAAGCACCTATCACTATCAAGAGAAGAGATTTGAAAAATGTCACTTCCTTTACTTATCACTCAGCATAAAGAACAAAATTCGCATTGCCAACACCAACAATAAGTCAGTTAGTTCTTCTATATGGATCAGAAACTTAACACACACGTCACTAAAATCATTTCCAACAGCCTACTTCAGAGTTTTATCAAAGCTTTCCATCTTCACTGGCCCATACTGAAGATCAGATGGCCAGTCAAAAAGAATTGGAAATGAGGAACGCTGCAGCTGAACGAAGCAATCAACAACCTACTGTTCAACGAATATCCCGAAGAACATGAAGGTGGATTAGATACACACTGAGCTGAACGTCGAATCACATCGCGTGCCAGACATAACCTCGAGTGGAACCCCGACGGGAAACGATGTGTCAGGCGTTGGTGCGAGGGTGACATGGAAGAGATCGTGTGAGGAGAATATGGGAGCTTATGGGCAGTCGTGGAGTCAGTTAAAGAGGATCACAGAGAACGGGATGAAATAGCGTGTTCTGTTGAAGCCTTTTGTTCCACCCGGAACCCAAAGGAATAATAATAAGTAATGACGTTCTTGATATTTTTCTTCTTGTGAATGGTCATTGCCTACATGCCTCCAAAGTCCGCCAATTTATATTTTATACATCTTGGTTCCGTTTTCAGAATTATTAGTAAAAACATACCGCTCTGTAATGTATATTTGCTTTTCTATTATTATTATTATTATTATTATTATTATATACTACTATTAATATTATCAGTTAGTAATTTTTCCTCTCAGAGGTAAAAGTAAAATACCTCGATGTACTACTTACCAGAAGGCACGATTGTACGATCCAAAGATCGATATATCGCGAGCCAACATAGACAGGGCAGTTTATCGACTTCCCGAGCTTCGTCCCACTGATCCGAAAGCGAAACCTGATACTTACGTACATTAAGTTCAAGGATTCAAAAAATCTGTTCGGAAGACATGATAGAGAAAGAATTAAGTTTATTACGTGAAACCCTACTAGATAACGGGTATCCATTAACATTCATAGACAAAAACATGAAAGAGAAACCTCCATTGCTAGATATCGTAACTGTTCCTAAGAAAACTCTCTTCATGAACCTGGAATTCAAAGGTGACACCGCAACGGAAATTCTCAGAAACCGCCTTTCTAAATGTCTGAAGAATACATTTCTAACAGCCGCCTTACGTATCACATTCTCCAACAGACGGTTAATCCAGTCTGACGTTAAGGATAAGAAATCGCTTTTGGCCACTTCAATGTGTATTTATCAATTTACTTGCTCGTGTGGAGCAAAGTATATCGGCCGTACGCAACGTCAATTTCACAAACGTATTCTGGGGCACTGTGCAGCTCGGTTAGCCAGAGGTGAAAAGAAGAATAGCAGCAGCTCTATCCTCGAACACCTTGTCATCTCCGGACATCGAACACCCCCGCTTGCATGAATGCTTCACAATGCTACACAGAGTCCCTCAATATCATACAAAGGGACTTCGAATACGCCAACTGTACATAGCTGAAGCATTAGCTATTCGAGATCTAAAACCTGACGTCTGCATTCCAAAGCACTACATAGGTTCACTCGCCCTACTGTAGTGAATGTAGGTTCACTTATTATTGTTATTACTACTATTATTTTATTGTCATTATTATTCCCATCATCCATATTTTATTACCACTCTATCACTGTTTTTTAATAACATTGCCTTTTCATACGGGTTTGATATAAAAACACTTAATCGCCTTTTCACTAGTTCCTGTCCATTCTACGCGAGCTTATTGATTAGTCATTATCTCACACTTATTACGTCATGCCAACTTCCGTTTCTTTTCTAACTTACAATTAGTCATCCCTTCTTACACCTCACATTATGTAATACAATTTTTCAAGGACAAAGTTCACCAGTATCTGATTGGTCTAAATATTTCTTTGTTAAATATAATTACAATTGTACAGCTCATGAAAATGAATCGTCGAAAAGAAAATTTTCTTATGACTCAGTATGGGAATATTTTTTTCATTAAAGTAAAAGTAACTACAAATTAAGTCACTATGTTCTTTCACTTATTTGAATGTTGTCTTCGATGAGCTGTTTATGAAATTATTGTTTATAAAAATAGGCTTATTTTACTATCACCATTTGTAGTTAGTAATTCTAGCTGAACTGAGAATTCACAGCATCATTGTCTACTTCTATCAATTATAGCTTCCTCATCACCTACAACTACACCTAAGCGTAAATCTTCACAATCAACACCTCTTGTCTCCACTCCTGTACGCAAAGCTGAGGCAAAAAAACCGGAAAAGAAAGATCGTTCATTTGGTCATATTTTTGATCTATGGGGATCATCGGATGATAACACTTCTAGCCAAACTTCTAGTCAAGATAAACAAATGTCTGTGATTAATTTTGTAAAACAAGGTCATAATGTCTTTTGTACTGGTGGTGCAGGGACAGGGAAATCTTATCTTATTCATCGTATTGTAGGTAAGTGATGCGATGCTCTTTGCTTCCCTCTGTATATGTATACCATAGTGATAATTTTATTCTGTTATTTGAAACAGTAATGCGTTCATACCCTAGCAGCTGATCAGATCACTGAAACAATCAAAATCTGTATAAATGTGTTGCTAATATTGTGTATAGTTTCTATAGTTGGTTTGTAAGGATTAGTTTTGTTTTTACGAGTTTTACCATGGATTAATATCAGTTAGAGGACCATTGAAAACCAGCGGGGAGTACTGGACAGCTATCTCATCCTAATTTTGGGAACAGCATCAGTACGCAGCCACCGCTAGGGTTCGAAAACAGGACCTTCCGGTTACAAGGCAAGCTCGCATACCATTCAGCCACTGGAACTCACCCGATTCAATGGCCATCCAATGAATTCTAACTTCTACCAATTCGTGATTTTAGCGCGACTAGCACCAATCAATGTCATCGGTGGGACGTCCATCCTCACACTTGACTGGTTGGACCTCACTGGTCATGACTTCTCACTAGAATTCCAGGAAACTCCCTCCTGTAACAAGTCACTACCGAGCATTAGATTAAGTTTCTATAGTTGGTGTGTAAGGATTCTGTATAGGATTCGCTAAACTTACAAATGTGGTTAAAAATCTAAGGGGATTTTAACAGTTTGTTTCTCCAATATCTCATACATGTTTTTATTTTCTGTAGGTATCCATATTCCAACTTGTGCTAGTGTTCAGCATGATAGTGACTATTGTTGAGTGATATTAGTATCTGGGAGATCACTCACTCGATTGGACACTATCTAGTGCCATATGTCTAGTCGTTTGTTTTTGGTGCAGACTGAATTCCATCGGTAAGGTTTGCAATGTGACAATCATGCCACTAGGTGGCTCGCCATCACGATGCCCTCTAAATTGTTGTCATTAGATGGTTGAAAGTGGTCGAATAGAAGCCGTTGATGTAGGTTTCCTGCTTTCTGGCACTCATTGGCAAGGCGTATCCACTGATTGCTTCCAACCATCTAATAAAAACAGTTCTGAGTGCACCGTGTTGGCTAGCCATTAATATCATGGTGGTCACATTGCGAACTTGACTGATCGGATTCAGGCTGCAGCAAACAAAGGACTAGACGTGTGACACTAGTCAGTGTCTAATCGAAACACCCAACACAGTCCTACAGGAGGTCCAATCGCTACCCCCAAATAGCTCAGTGATAACGTCTGTAACTGCGCCACTAGGTGAGACGTGCTCGAATCTCAGAAGGGATATAAGTTCTCCAAGATTAAAGATACGCCTTGCTGACTGCTGATAGGTGAGCTTACTTTCAGTTGCCTCCAACCACCTAATAAACCACTTATCGCCAAGCAAGAGTACTCGCTAGCCAGATCAAAGTGAATCAAACACTGTCAGGCCGTTTCACTCATTTAGAATCAACCTCATCATCGGTCTCATCTCACTAAGGGTTGAATCAGTTCAAATAAGTAGAATTTTACCTGTTAATATGAGTGGTTTTCAAGTACTCACATCAATCAGTAGTATATGCTACCATGTGCTATTTTGCTTGCTTTTTGGGGTTGCCAATTAGAGTATGAAGGAGCAGATCACATATTTTGATCCTGTACTACTCTTTCCTCGATTGAGTTCACTATATTCTCTTGCGTTACTACCAAAAAACAATCTTTGGCGAATTCTGGACATTTTCAATACACACTAGATTGTATCTTAAATTGGAAATCAGAACAAATAGTTCAACGAAGAGTCTCTTTTTTCAGCGAATTCATTTGTTTAGCTGTACAATCTCAACTATACATGATTATTTTTGTATGTATGTGTGTGTACATTAGGTTCGTCAAACAAAAATAAAAATTTAATTCGGGTTATTTTTAATGTCATCAAAATATTTCAAAAAATGTGATGAATAATCAAAGTTGTAACTAATGTGGGTGGTGGGTGTGTGGAAGATCAGTAAGTTTTGACTAGGGTTACGTAATATTAAAAAAAATTCAGAAGAATTGGATGTTAACATGAAAGAGCATTGAGGCAAGTGTCATCAAAATAAATTATGTGGTAGGTGAAAAGAGTAAATAAAAAGTTGCTTAAGAAAATGATGATACTAACTGTCATACGAAAAATTGCACCAAATAGAGTATTAATAACAAAATATTGATACCCAAGGTAGGGGCGAAATGGAGAATTTTCTTCTCCAAGGCTTTGCACATGAATCACTAAAGTCTCGTCAATGCACAGTGTATAGAAGTTTACCGTCCTCTGGAGACTTCTTTTTAACTTTGTAGATAACTCTGAGTAAATTCCTCCTTGCATATTGAGTGACTAGTATTGAATATATATTCAAATATGTCACTCTTTATTGGTCCATTTTTACCTTTTCATAGTCAAGCAGGATAATTTTCTTTAACTCTGTTAGATAGAACACGCATCGAAAGAAGTATATGTCTCACTGCACAGGAGCAAGTAATTGATAGAAACAAATATAAGTGGTCGTATGAAATAGCTTATCTTTCGAGTTGTATCTTTAATTCCCTAAACAGTTATTTGCTATTATTTATGTGATAAGATTTAATTGGTAAGTCTTGGCTGAGGTTTAAAGTTATGTGCTATGTGATACGTCAGTGTTATGTATTGATTGATGCGCTTTCACTCATAAAAATTATGTTTCTATGCTTCCGTCTGTTACTATTTTGAGACAGGATTATACTACTTTTATTTAAAAAAGTAGTATGATTGAATGTCGTAAAAATGATTGTCGTTTGGTGAAGTTTGGTTATGGATTGCTGATTACCGAGTGGAGAGAAGAAGCGTCTGTCACATTCCATCGACATTTTAAATGGAATTCGAAGTTTTCTTTTACACACGTAGCCTAAGCTCATAAAATTTTTCAACCCCTTATTATTCTCCGCATACTTCACACTTCCATTATGTTCATCTGAACTCCGATCACCTCTTCATTTTATCCTTGGCATTACGTAAATCTTAATTTTATAAGATTTTGACCTGATCTAATTATTGAATTGTTTACATTTGTCATACTGTCTTTCTTACTCTTGTCACCAGCTGCGTCACCTACTTGTACGTTTTAAATCATTCATCTTATAATCACTGTTATTGCTATTATTATTATTATTATTATTATTATTATTATTATTATTAGAATTTTCGATAGGGATTTCTCAAGGTCTTTGTTAGGTCTGTCTGTCTGTCTGTTTTCGACATAGAACTTTGCACATATGTGCTGCAGTTCAAGTCCCCACACTCCGTGTAGCACACACAGCAACAGAAGAAGGTAGAAGAAATGCATAGTAGAGACAGTAAACAAAGGTGTGAGACAAAGGAATGGTAATAACGAAGAACAATGTAGCTTCGTTGGAAATCATAAGTCACAAGGAGTGGATGCATCTGCGCCAGCCATTGAGAACGATTTTGAGCCATATCACCAATTGTTTCCAACCATTAGTTTTTACCGTCCCGAGGACCCCAACCAGGAAGTCTACACCTTCCTACGTGGCTTAGACTTACTGTTGTAGAATTCATTGACTGGTGCCAAGTTTTTGTTTGACCGCCGCTAGCTTTTTTCCAGCCTGACCCTATATCCGCTAACATTGCTCGTCGAGGGAGGCGATGACTAGGCATACGTAACACATGTCCTAACCATCTCAGTCTTTGTAACTTCACGACTTCGTCGATTGATTTCTCCTGTTTGCCTAGAACTCGACGACTAACTTCAATATTGCTCACCTTATTATGCCACTTTGTTTGGTAGTTTCGTCTTAGGTCGTTATGGTTTAGAGTTGCTACTACTAATTCGTTCAAGTAGCTGATCACTAGTTTGGCGCTTTGTTCTGATTTAGCTTTTGGGGCTGAAGAGCTCGATCCCAAACGAGAGGAACGCTATCCAATGTTCGTATCACGTAGATCTGGCTATGAGGCACTGTTGGTTAGTGTGGTGGTGGTGGTATCCACCTAATTTTTATCAATTAATCGGTAGTATCAGCAGTACCATCATACACTGATGCTTATTTTATGCTTCTATCAGAATAAAAAGATAACTCTTGTTAAGTGGCAACCTAGTTTCAAATGTCAATACAGCCAAGTTAAACTTTAGGAACCAGTAACTACCAATGAAGTGCAACTGAACCATTGACCTTGAATTGGCCAATGAATGCCTTTACGTCAATTCAAGCTTTCACTCCGCTTCATTCGAGTCAAATGCCTGCTCTAACGAAGTTACGTCTGAAATTCGGTGTAGACCAAGTATTCCAGTGTTTCTTGGATATGGGATTGATTGGAAAGGAGAGAATTTGTTTCTATGGATGTATTATTGCGACGGTAGAAGACAAGCGATTTTTTCTTGACCTTGATATCTCTATATAAGAAGATTATGTACACCTAATGTGAAAATCGTCGTTTTGCGCAGATCTTCCGTGTTGGGCTACTTCTACCCTTCCTTCTTATTGTGTTTCTTTGTCTTCTTTTCGTGTCTCCCATGTCCTGATAAGGTTTATCAGTAGTATACGCCACATTATGAGTATAAAAAGTAGCATAAAAGTAGACCGGTTGGTGAACTGTTGCGAAATTTGTTTGGGATGAGCTACTCTAAGGGATGTAAGCTGCTGGTTATACTATTTCTTAAAAAAACTTTTTTTGCCAGATCCCATTTATCATCAATGCAGATCTATAATATACACAGATGAGCGAAAATGATTTATTCACTATAGGGTGGATCACTACTAATTTCAATGGATCCTATTACAGGGACCCACACCGATTCTATTGAGGGATTTTGGGGAAGGTTGAAGAGTAGGATTAGAGGCATTAACGGATCTCAAAAGGATCTTATTTATAGTCATTTAGATGAATACATATATAGGATGTGGTTGAATATATCTGCTGATACTGCTATGAAAAACCTGAAGTCATTTTTGTTACACTTAGGAGAAAGGTATCTGTGTAACATTTTTATACCCTTTTTTTTTACATTATTTTCATGTGATTGGTGCATTCAAGGCCATTCTCTGATTGGTAGTTATTGTTGCTTATTATTTTCTAGTATTACTTCTGATTAGCATTCATAAATTCATTTCATGTAAACGAACTAGCTATTTTTCATCTATTTTGTCTTTTTGTTATTATTATTCAGGTTTACTCCCTCCAGAATATACTGCTGTAACTGCTAGTACAGGTTCCGCTGCTAATCTTATCGTGGATTGACAGTACATGCATTTTCTGGACTAGGACCTTTACTTGAATCTGATTTAAAAATGGATAATAATAATGATATATCCGCTTGGATGACAAATCTACGTGCACGTTTAAAATATCGTACAGATATGATAGCTCGTTGGCAAAAACTACGTTATCTTGTTATTGATGAGATAAGCATGTTAAGCAGTAGACTATTTACACGTTTAGATCTTGTAGCTACTGAATGTCGTCGGTCAATGGGTAAAAATGCTGAAAAATTAGCCTTTGGTGGGATTCAATTAATTGTGTTTGGTGATTTTTTTCAATTACCACCTGTTGTTCCTGCATCTCGGGTATGTACACTAGTCTGATATGTTTGTTTTTTTGTTGTCTTAATACAAATCTCTGATTTTATTTAGTGTAATTTATGAAACATTCATATATGATCATATTTCTTTTTTCAACATTATTATTATTTTATTCCCTTGGGTTTTGGGTGGAGCATACGGCTTCAACAACACATCTCCATTTGTTTGCATGGAGGATTTCATCATGAGCTGACACCAGTTAGAGAATCACTGGAAAACCTGGGAATACTGGACAGCTACTTCACCCTAGTTTGAGGCTCTTCATCAGTGCGCACCCACCGGGGTTCGAACCCAGGACCTTCTTGTTACAAGGCGAGCTCGTAGACCATTGAGCCACTGGGACTCGATCCAATGGCTAGATCACGAATACTAACTTCTGCCAATTCATGACATAGCGTGACCATTTCGCAATGTCTTCTTCGATGAGTTACTGCCTCATCTACAACCTGCTGTACCCTACTGGTCACGGCTTCTCACATTTCCATTTCACCTTGTTTTCAGGAGTCCTCTTCAGCTAGCTCCACGACTCCCCATAAGCTCTCATCTCCTCCCCATCACACGATCTCCTCTATGTCACCTACACACCAACACGCGACACGCCGTTTCTCATCCAGGTTCTACTCGAGATTTTGTCTGGCGCGCGACATGATTCGACGGTCACCTCAGCGTATATTCAATCCATCTCCATTTTCTTCGGGACATTCGTTGAACAGTAGGTTGTTGATTACTTCGTTCCACTGTAGAGTTCCTTGTTTCCAATTCTAACTGTCTGGCCATCTGATCTTCAGTATGGAGCCAGTGAAGATGGAAAGCTGTTGATAAAACTCTGAAGTAGGCTGTTGGAAATGATTTTAGTGACGTCTGTGTTAAGTTTCTGATCCATGTAGAAGAACTAACTGACTCAGCATTCAAATCGATTGATGGGTGGTAATTAGCAGTGAAATCCAGAATGCGCGTTTCATCCTATTTGGGACTCATCAGCTGGATGTACGTGCATTGAATTAAATGACTTAACATATTGTATTGAAAATCCGAATTTTGTTGTTTATGCTGAATTAGTGCAGATTTCCAGACTCACTTCAGAGTGATCAAAGCATACCTTGCCTTTCCTGGTCCTGGTCTTGATATCCTCATCCCTGCCGTCTACCTGTTGTTGAAACGATTCTGCCTAGATAAGTGAGAGTGGTGATAACCTATTTCAAATCTTTCCCGTTGATGGCGATTGGTGGTTGTTGTTGTCGTTCTCAGTTGGTTACCTTCATCATCTTTACTGGCATTTTTGTAGCGAGTATCGTATTTTCTCGATTCTGTTAGAATTCATGGTCAAGTGAAATTTTACGCACCAGTGAAGTGCAGCTGCATCAATGACCTTGAAACTCTAAGTGATTAAGTTAGTAAAACCTGGTAAATAATATTGTATTCATGAATAAAATATGCTCCTCGAGGTGTTATGTTATTAAATGGGATATCTAGCAAGTTTCAGGTTAGGATAGATTACATTAAGGTTCTAGGCTAAGGATAGGTTAGGGTTAGGTTAACCTAATAAGGACGACATGAGGGTTAATTTGACTTAGATTAGACTTAGGGTATGGAAAGATTAAGATTACTGTTAGGATTAGAAGACCTAGATAGTTACATGCATAGAATGTGGTTAAATTACTCTGTTGATACTCCAGTCAAAAACTGAGAGGTTCTTTTGTCACACGTCTGAGAAAGGTATCCTGTGTAATGCCTTTAACTCATTACTTTCATGAATGTGTGTATTTTATATCGAAATATCGCCTTTATCATGTGGTTGGTGCGTTCAAGGTCATTTGTTTCGTTGGTACTTACCGGCACTTAAAGTTTAACTTCTCCGAATTCAGAATAGGTAAAATTATTCTTAGTTTATTTGTTAACCGCTCACATTCATGAGAGCTGAAAACCTGATTTCCACCAATAAAATCAATTTTGGATGGAGGATTTCATCATGAGCTGACATCAGTTATTTCGTCAGTTTAGTTTGGTACTCTTCAGCAGTACGCACAACCGGGGTTCGAACCCAGGACGTTCTAGTTGCATGGCGAGTTAGCTCGTAGAGCCACTGGGACCCGATCCGGTGACCAGCGAATGAATTCTAACTTCTGCCAATTCACGAAATAGCGCGGCCGTTTCGCAATGTCTTCTTCGATGGGCCATTTGATCGGGTCCCAGTGGCTCAATGGTCTACGAGCTCGCCTTGTAACAAGAAGGCCCTGGGTTCGAACCCCGGTGGGTGCATAATGATAAAGAGTCTTGAACTAGGAGGAAACAGCCGTCCAGTACTCCCAGCTGGTTTTCCAGTGGTTCTCTAACTGATGTCAGTTCATGGTGAAATCCTCCATCCAATAAAAAAATCCCTACAACACCAATACTTGAAAATTAATTTTGTAGAAAAACAGAAAATGGGAATATTGAACGAAATTAACCGTGCTATAAGTTCACCACAGTTACCGAATACTTATATGCTGGTGATTGGCTGTCTGGTTTCTATGTAGAACTATGCAATTCGAGTCACTACACTCCATGTAGCACACAAAGGAAGATAAAAGGGAGATTTCAAAGAATCATAACAAGCAGAATTGTTAGGGAGATTGCAAAGAGTGATAAATGCATCTGCGCCAGTCATTGAGAACAATAAGTTTGAGCCATATCACCAATTGTCTCCAGCCATTCATTGGTTCTTAGAATCTTGAGGACTCCGACTAAGCAATCTATCTAAACTTAATTGATGGATGGTGGCTAGCAGTGGAATCCAGGATAACGCGCATTTCGTCCTATTTGGGACTCGTGGCCAGCTGGATGTACCTGCATTCCCCAGTCAGTGAGCGATGATGTTCCCACCGAGGCTCGAACCCAGTGCCCGTAGCTTCAAACACTAAAGCGTTAACCACTAGACCACTTGGGCCATGACAGCCACCTCTTGTGCAACGGGTCATATTAATTACTTAACTGAATTTTAGAATGCAGGTACATGCAGATGACGAGTCCCAAATAGGACTAAATGCGCTTGATCCTGGATTCCACAGCTAGTCCCATCCACCAAATCTAATTAGATGCCCAGGCATCGTCGAAGCATCTGCACAAGAAGCCAATGTATCAATCTGAGACCGAGAACTTCGGTCCAATCAATCGACGGGAAAATCTAAAATTCAATTAAATAATCTATCTAAACCTCCCAACGTCATGAATGGCTCAAACTAATAGTCAAATATTTCATTGACTGATCAAGCCATGTTTTTATTTCACCACCACCATCACTAGTTCTTTTCTAACCTGATCCATCCTATGTCAGCTAACAATGACGATCAAGGAAGTCAATGGCTCGGGAAGCATAACACATTGTGACATGTAGTAAATGCAACTGGGTGGAGTATTGTACATGGTAGCAGTTTAAATGACTTTAAATTCTAACTGTAAAGTAGGCAGGCAAAACTGTTACACTCCTTAAATCATTTATGCTTAATTGTAGTCGTTGTAAGATCATTTTTATTTAGAAGAAATTGAATGAATGAACCTACGAAATGCTAATCTTATTTGTTATCTAAACGCGTTCATTATCATAAATATTTTTAAGTTACACAGATATTTATTTATAATAAGTGTCAATCTGTCACTTAATTCATAATTGAAATTTTTTGGTAGATTTTTTATTGATTATCATTGTAAATTTTCTGATTTTGTGTGTATTCTCAAGTTTAATATATTTGTTGACTTTACAAGTCAAATGCTTCTACTATGAATTCATGAAATCACCTAAAATGATGATGCTTTGTATGTATGAATTTGTTCCCCTCTCCTAGAAGCAAACAATGTTTTACCCTTCAAAGAACTGAATTTGTTTTACCTACTATCCTTTTGGATTATCGATCAACACCGAATCCATCGACTACCAATAAACTGTCACCTGCTAAACACATATTCAAACGTAAAATTCATACTTTGCTGGATGATTTACTTCCAAGACATCCAGGAATACGCAGATGGAAGAATAGTACAATAAACATCATGGGGCAAAAATTAGACATTTTCCCTTGGAAAATCTGTGTGGGTTCGTGATTTTCAAACTGCTATTACCAAAATGAACGATAGAAGTAGTCGGAAGAGAAAATAAGTACGGTGGCATACAGATTGAAGGTCAGAGGAATACTGTGGTCAAGGCATATAAATCACATCAGGAAATGCAGAAGTTTTGATGATCCTAGCAACTGATTTTTGGGATATCTACACATAGACATCCTATACGGAGAAACAAGTGTGAGGAAACCAGGTGAATCAAAGTTGTCAGTGCTATAAAGATCGCATAGGTTATGCAAACCTGTGAAGTATTTTCATCAGGTGGAGCCTAAACTGAGGACTTATTAAAAAAGGGAGGGTGTTAAGATGGATCACTTATTTTTGTTAGTCATGAAGTCATGATTGATGCTTCCATTGACACGATAACTTGATTGGATAGTTTTAAACTGATTTATTTTTGGAGGATCTTCAGGGTCATGTAACCAAGAGAACATTGATCATTTATTTATGGCTTGAATTTAACAAAGGGTTTGTAAACTGTGTAGTATACTTTCATTTGTACAATAAAAAGTTGTCGTTATTGTCTCAGTCAAATCTGACTTTTATGCGTCTTGTCTGTGTGGGGGAATATTCTCAAGTGATCAGTTAGTTATAATGTCGTGTCTGGAGGCGCATTCTCATCAAGTTAGACGGTAACCACAAGTCAGTAAGTCTCCGTTATTATAACTCCTACTAGCTGACATCTGTGATGAACTACTAGAAGCAGAAGAGTGGTAGACATCATGGTTAACGACTTATCTACAATGTTAACTCAGTCATGGACCATTAACATGTCTTTAATACTCAGTCAATCTGTTTTCCTAATCTAATCAATTAGAAATGTTTTCGTAAGCATCATTCACGGAGCTTGGAGAAAACTGACTCGATCGCGTGCCCCCATAGGCGTGCACTGGGTAGGGACTCTAAACTATTAGAAAATACTCTTCGCTGCTACTTGGAGCTTCTTCATTTTCTTGCCGACTGTTGTCTACTTGTAACTAACAATCAGTTTTCTAAAAATCTCTGAACAACCTCCCCCCCCCGCAAATGACCTAATTTTGTCTAGGGTGGGTTGACTTCAGTCTTCATCTCGAAATGCTCCCATGAGGCGACGTATTCTTAGCCTTTGACAGGTAAGTTCTGTTCACTGTCTTCACGCGGCAGGGGTGTTCCTTATAAGAGTGAAAGGGTAAACTAGGACGTCTGGCGCTTACAAACGGAGTGTTTGGACATGCTGGTCTACCTAAGGGAGCTGGAAAGCCTTCTTTCCAAACCTATGGTTACAGAATCTAAATTGGTGGAGTGGCGGATGAACCCATACGAATGTAACTCCTGACGCTGGTCTACCCCTTAGTGGATCAAACTTCAAATCAAAGGCTCTGTTGATGGTCTCTTAAGACAATCACCTGCTTCGGTGTAGGAGTCACGGCAGTATTTCAGTCCTGTAACCAATCTAATCCCTACAAACCAACACTTGACAATTATTCTGATACTCACTGGCGACTGGCCCTATATAGGAAGTTACCTGAGGTTCTGTTGAGAAGGCGTAACAAGAGGGATTCACCAAGCGAGGCATGGGGACAGTTACTCAGCAATGAAAGTGACTGGTTGTTACGCTAAATTTATCATGAATTGATAAAAGTTGGAGTTCATAGACCATTACGTCGGATCCCAGTGGTCTACCAGCTCGCCTTGTAACAAGAAGGTCCTGGGTTCGAACCCATGGTGGTGGGTGCGTACTGATGAGGAGTCTCAAACTAAGACGAAACAGATGTCCAGTGCTCCCACCTGGTTCTCCAATGACTCTCTAACTTTTGTCAGCTCGTAATCAATCCTGAAACCTTTAGTAGTTTACTAGTTTCTTTCACCTTTTTGTCTGTACCAGTTGTGTTAATGTTATGTAATGTATTCATTGATTTCCCTTTCTGCATATCATAGACACAATCTGAAAGTAAATTCGCTTTTCAATCACCTTCTTGGGATAAATGTCATTTTAAAGTTGTTGAGCTGACGCATTCATGGCGGCAGTCTGATGATCCTAAATTAGCACATTTACTTTCTGTTATACGTGAAGGTCAATGTCCGAAATGGGCGATTAAAATACTACGATCACGTGTAATATCTGAATTAGGCAATTACAAAAGTGATGATAATAATAATGGTAGTAAATGCATTGCAACACGTTTATATACTCATCGTGCAGATGCTGAAGCTTGGAATAAGCGTATGTTAGATGAATTACCAGGTGAGTTGAAATATTTTTATGTTTTTAGTTTTATGTTTTTACGAGTTTGACCACGGATTATTATCAGTTAGAGAACCACCATTGAAAAGCAGCACTGGAGTACTGGACAGCTGTTTCATCCTAGTTTGGGAATCATTGGTAGTACACATCCACCACAGGGGGTTCAAACCAAGGACCTTCCAGTTACAAAGTAAGCTCAGATACCATTCTACCTCTGGGACCGGATCCAATGACCCATGAACTCCAACTTCTGCCAATTTTTGATCGAGCCTCGATGGCTGAATGGTTTACAGACTCGCCTTATAACTAAAATTTCCTGAGTTTGAACCCTTACGGTAAATGCGCACTGATGAAGAGTCCCAGACTGGGACAAAATACCCATCCAGTACTCTTTGTCGGTTTTCCAATGGTCCTCTAACTTATATGTGATTGCCATCGTATACTGAATAGTATGTAGTCAATGTCTGCAACAGAGTAGTCATTGATAGTTTTCTATAAGTTAGTGTTAACAGTGTTTACTATGAAAGTCAAATTAAACATCTTGAATATAGAAGGGAAAGAAAATGATGGAAATGTTTGTTAATGGAAAGTACATTCAATTCATGAGATGTACTCCTGTGTAATAGTAATGACGATCATAAACACCTAACACCGTGTAAAATGGGAATACTAAAACAAATCTACAATAGTTTGTGATCAAAATTTGAAATAAATCAAATCCCTACAAACTAACTCTTGAAAATTAATCTGATACCTGCTACTGGAATGACTACATGAAGACTTTGCCTGAAGTTGTAGTGAGAAGTTATCCCCACCGGAGTTCACTAGGTCGGATGTGAGAATAAACCAGTCGCCGAGGACTTTTGCCTGGTGGTCGCGTTAAAATCAAAAATTGGTTGAAGTTTTAATTCATGTACCATTGGATTCCAGTCAACGAGTTTCGCGTTATAACCTAACCTGAATGCCGTAGGGTGCGTGCTATTGAAGAGTCTCAAACTAGCACGAAACAACTGTCCATTATTCCCTGTTGCTTTTCAATGGTTCTCTAACTGACACAAATCTGTGATCAAACTTGTAGTATTGAATATGTCAATTTCCTAACTTCCTTCTTATTCTATTTGTAATTCCCTCTTCTGTGTAATTATTGTTTATTTCCCATTATTAACACTTAACATCCACGTGGTGCATAAGTTATGTTTTAGTGATATAAACACTTTGACTTTCAGTCTGTTTCATGTTAAGAAAGATGTATACTTGAGTAAATGTCGAGTATTACTCAAAAGCGCTTAAGTTCACCACTTATTTATCATTTTTATTCTGGGCATAGCCGAGGCACTAGCTATCCAAAAGCTCAAACTCACGCTATGTATCCAAAAGAAATACGTTCAACCCTTGTCCCTGCCATGGCCTTCATAAACAGGTATTCCTTTTAATAGTGACCAACCCTTTGCCTTTCTTATCCAAACTTCCTGTTTATTCATATTATTTTAAAGTTTTTTTTAACCCCTATTTACACTACCATATTTTCATATCCGAATTTCCTGTCTATCCCTGATTGCATAAACAATTAGTTATGATCCCATTAGATTTTTTTATCCAAACATCCTGTCTATTTTTGTTATTTCTACATTTCTAACACCCAATTACACAATATATCAATCTTCTTAGTAATTATGATGCTACTTTGTTTGAGTTTTATCCGTCCCCCTGTTTATTGTAATTGATTGTAATTTTATTAATTTGACACTTGTTCGGAAATTATTCTGGAACTCTTCCACCCATTTCTTATTGTGTGCGTCGGTGGCACAGTGGTTAGGACTCTCGCCGACCATGCACATGGTCCGGGGTTCGAGCCCTCGCCGACGCACACCTGATATCTATGGTCGACCTGCAAAATTTGGGCTACCGATATCACATGGTGAAAATTCCATACTTATACCCAAAATACGGTGTGGAATCAAGCTGTAATAATAATAATAATAATACACCAATGTACAGCTTAGTTGATGACTTCGTCGAAAAGGAAATTTTCTTCGCTGCAACCGCCTTTTTAATAATTCCTATGATCTAATGTGTATATTCTGTCATCTTTATTCTCTTGGGTTCCAGAGAGAAGGTAAAGCTTCGGAAACACATCTCCGTTTCACCCTCTTCTCTGCAGATTACTTAACACCATGATCCCACGATTATCCATAGTCTCTCATCTCCTCCTTACACAACTCATATCCCACTTGTCTTTCCCCATTCGGCTTTCACTTGAGAGTGACAGCCTGTCTGTCACACGATGTCACTCAACTGTCTCTTAGAATGTCTATCTGATCCTTGAATATCAATCCAATCGCTATAGGATCTTCAAAGCTTTAGTGTTCAGGTTACACCCATTTTAATGAAAGTACACATAAAAGTGTAGATAAAAGTAATATCACTAAATACTTTGTGTTATTTATCCAATAAGTTGACACATAATTTAACTTCTCATTAAAGTTTACCATCTACAGTATTCTAGCTTGGCAAGCTACTGAAAAGTGTCTGTTCATATAATGTCGTATCGTATTAACAGATTCAAACAAAACTACAGACTTTTAAGTTCATTTAAATTTGTTCTGAATAAAATTTATCTTTGATAGGTGTATGCAAAATTTATCGATCTCAAGATACTTTTGTCGGTAAAACAAATTCCAGTTACATAGATTCCATTTGTCCAGCTCCTTCTGTATTAAATTTGAAAGTTGGTGCACAAGTAAGAAAATATTTTTTTTGTTCTTATTTATTTGTACATTATTTATTTCATTCCTTTACGTTCCAAGCGGAACACAGGGATTCAAGCTTAAGCTTTGAAGTTTCGGTAGGAATGGTGTTATTTTTTCACGTTCAACCTTCCCTCTTTATCGGGCTTACCACTCAGGCTAAGTGAGATTTAGAAATGCGTCGATAGGAGGGTCGAACCTTGTACCACGTGTGTGGTTGGCGAGCATTCTACTTTTGAATTACCGACGCAATCAAATAGTAAGAAGGTAAAATAATTGTTTTGCAAATTCTTGAAGTGTGATCCAACGAAATTCTTCCGTACAGTTGTGTAAGGGGCCCAAAATAGAAGGACTTGCGGATGGTCCTAGCGCGGCCTTTTTTATTGTGGATGTATTACCCCACATCATTCAGTCTGTTTTTATTTTTGGAAGATTCCTGACTCACACCATACTAGAAACAGCTTACTAATTCTCATGTATGTTTATGCTAACAATAAGCCTCTGTACACACTTTTAATTGTCGAAACTGTATTTTAAAAAGCTCGTTTCTCTTTGAAATCTTAAAACACTCAGGTTATGCTGCTACGGAACTTAGATACTGGTCGTGGTCTTGTCAATGGAGCTCGGGGTGTAGTAGAGAAGATAAACAATGATAATGGTTTACCAGAAGTTCGATTTTTCTCTTCCAAGTCAAACAGTGGAGGATCTAATAGCTTTCTACATACTGTACAAATTGAAAAATTCACTATTCGTGGTGTTGGTACAGAAGAAGTTGGCAGTCGACGTCAACTGCCATTATCTTTAGCTTGGGCAATATCTATACATAAAAGTCAAGGCATTACATTAGAAAATGCTGAGCTTGCATTGTCTAAAGTAAATATATTTTTTTTCAAGAGTTTAACTGATGATCTACATATAAAGTGTTTATTGGCGTTTTGAAAATGGATAAAACTAATGGTTATTCTTGTTTAATGGAAAATTTTTACAGATTCATCAAATCTGTACTATCAAACTGCAATAATACGCCTGATAAGGTTAGGCAGTTGATGGGTGGTGTATGCGTAAAATATCGCATGAATAATCTCCATCCAGACATTAATGAAAACAAAACAGGTAGTTGTTCAGCGAAGAGTCTCTTTTCACCGGTGAATTCATTCATCACTCAAGCTGTACAATTGCAATTATATATACATATACTTATTTTTGTATGTGTGCCTGTGTACCGACCCACCAACCGAAGTGGAGGTCCATGAGGAACTCCAAGTGTTAAAGCGCCATGAGGCACCCGGCTCATTTTAAAGATGGTGGCGAGACTCTCACAATGACTCTAACTGGGTTGTTCAGGAAGGTATGGGAAACAGAGAGTGTACCATCAATGTGGAACGAAGCCATTACCGTTTCCATCTTTAAAAAGGGTCGACGTAATTCATGTGATAATCATAGGGGTATCAGTCTGCTACCAGTCGCGTCTAAAATATTGGCTGCTTTCTTGCTCCGAAGGCTGTGCAAAACAACTGAGGAAATGATTCGCAAAAAGCAGATTGGGTTTCCTTCAGGTTGGGAAAGCATTGATCATGTGTTCACCCTTCGTCAGCTGTTGGAACACTGCCACATGTATTGCAGGCCAACGATCGTTGTATTTCGTGATATTAGGGCTGCCTTCGATTCGTTGGACAGAACTGTACTCTGGAACTGTCTGTTAGAGAGAGGTGAACCTGAGAAATTTGTTAACATCTTGAAAGCCCTATACAGAAACACCTCGGGTAGAGTGGGGGCATACAACCAACTATCATCACTGTTCCCAACCAACAGTGGGGTTAGACAGGGTTGCCCAATCTCTCCATTTCTCTTTAACTTTGCTATCGATGACATTCTGAAATCAGCTCTGAAGGATGTGCGTGAAGGTGGTGTAAATCTGCGCCCTGGAGATAGACTTTTCGACTTCGAGTATGCGTACGATATCGTCTTACTGTGCGATAGCATGCAGGCTGCCCAAATCGCACTTAATCAGTTGGCGATCGGTGTCTGTAAGTATGGCATGTGCTTTGCGCCGTCTAAGCGCAGAGTACTGTTACAAGATTGGCAGGAGCCTGTACCTGCACTCACTCTTGCAGGTGAACCACTGGAAGTTGTTGATAAGTTCGTGTACCTGGGTAGTTGTGTGAGTGCTGGCGGAGGGGTGACGGATGACATTTCCAACCGTGTTAAAAAAGCTGAGGTGACATACGTTGACTTTAGCCACCTTTGGCGCTGTCGCGACGTTAGCCTGGCTGTCAAAGGTCGGGTATACAATGCTTCGGTGCGGGCTACCTTGCTCTATGCCTGTGAAACCTGACCTCTCCGAGCTGAGAATGTGCGGCGACTCCGCGTGTCCGATCATCGCTGTTTCCGCAGGACTGCTTGCATTGAATTCGGTGGCATCTTCGCGTGAGTAATTCTGAGGTTCGGTGGCAAGTGTTTGGACACAGTGGAGATCACCATTAGTTGAGTGTCGTCATCTGGAAACACCGGCTTCGGTGGTTCGGACATGTGCTGTACAGGTCTCTGTTCCCTAGCCAGCCCTTGAACGGGATGGAAAAGGCGGAGAGGTGGTCAGTCCATGACTTGGCGTCGTGGGATGAAAGATATTTGTGCTAGGTTAGCATCGGTTGGTGCGTTACGACTCCCTGGTTGGAGTCCGAGAGGTAACTTGAATCGATGGCTCGACTCGTTATCGGATATGATCAAGAATCGCAATCATCGATGGCGAACGTGTTGCAATTTCCTTCTTTCTTTCCTTCCCGATGATAGTTGACGAATACTGTTTGAACTTGTTAAGTATGTCTGTTTCCTTCCTGATGAATTTTTTTTATCCGTTCTCCACCCATATTTTTACTTTTAATCTATGTTGTTTTGTTATTATAGTGTGACGCATCGTCTTGGTGCCATATTGTACCAAGGTTTCTGCGTGTGCGTGTGTACATCAGGTTTGTTCGATAAAAATAAAAAGAAGTTAGGGTTGTTGTTATTAAGACATTTGGAAAATGTGATGAGTAATCAATTTGTAACTAGGTGGGGTTGGGCAGGGGTGAGGATTGATGAGAGGGTAGTGGTGATATGTTGTTAGAATACATAGTTATTAATGTTAATCAACACATAAAAGAAGTTGAATAAGCATCAAACAGTTACTTAATTAGATGAATAGTTTAATCAATAAGTGAGTAGTGATTAGGATGCACATAGAAAGAAAGCAAAATATGGAATTATGTAAGAGTCACAAGGAAAAAACAAGCACACAAACATCAAGTCAGTAGAAGTCAACACGGTTGTCACCATGATAGCAGAAGTGATTGGATGATTTTCTTTTGTATACATAACTCTGGTTTTTCCGGCCTAATGGCTAAGGCTTCAGAAATACAAAGGAGATGAAAGCGAATTGCCTTTGGTAGGTTATTCTTCACTCTGTAGATCACTTTGAAGGAGGCATTTGTTGAGATGGAATGACCAGTGTTGGCGAGATGGTCGATTACTGCACTTCTTATACAACCACTATTAACCTTTCTAAAAGGTCTTGACAACAATAACCCCAACGTATTTTTATTCTTATCGGACAAACCTAATATACATACACACAAAATAAGTAGATATAGTTGCGAATGTACAAGTGAAGGGGAGAATGAATTCGCCGGCGAAAAGAGACTCTTCGTTGAACAACTACGTGTTTTTTTTTCATTAAAATATCACAATCAACGGGAAGTTGTCTGATTCTCTAGATCACATCGCCTATAATGTTTGATATACCTTCCCCTTAGAAACTGACTTCATTAGATCGGAAGACTGCTTTTGTGAAAACTAGATTAAGTGCTGTTCTTTAATGACCTGTCCTTTAATCATAAGTCTAGATACACTCACAATAAAAAGAAATCTCAGATATTATTATCTCTAACACGCGCCAAATAAAAGATACAATTCAATAAATCTTCTTTCGACCTGAGAAAGTGACTAAGTGTGTCGCTTAATTAGACTTTCTGGAAGGTGGTGAATCAAAATCGATTTATGGTGTTACCAGTTCACCCAATTAGCTCCGGTGGTTTCAATACTGATTCGGCTCTCGCTTCAGTGAATTCAGTCGCAAACGAGCGAAACGACCGTTCGGCGTTTAGATTACCTCGATCTGGCTTTCTGGCAAGCACTTACTGGTTGATATGGATTGGTATGCAACTACCTACTCATCTCAATCAATCAGTAGTATATAGCGTAACGTGTTGATTACTTTTACATTTTTTTTTCATCTTTTACTATTACCTACTACGTGGTATACGCTACATTAACGTGGATAGTTACTACTTTATAGTGCCTGTTCCTGTAATGATCTGTTCATTTCGCCCGGTTTAGTTTATATCAATGTGTTACTTCAATCTCTCTATGTTGAAATGTTTTGAAATGTTGTATGCCAACTTTACTTGATACACTATTGTGTCTTGTTTGTTCTTTATCCATACACAGAAAGATCGAGTCATTCCTTAGTCTTAGTATACATTGCCATAGTTTACTTTGGAACGTTTAGTGGGCGAAGTTACACTTTAAGCATAAATGACCCTGAACTCACCATTCACATGCAAAAGTCTGTTTTTCCGTATAAAATACAAATGTTGGTTTACAGGGATTTGACTAGTTACCTGATTTCATCATAAGCTGACATCGCTTAGAGAACCATTGGAACACCTGGGAGTAATGGGCGACTGCCTCATCCTAATTCGGGCTCTTCATCAGCACTCACCCACCGATGTACAAGCTCGCCTTGTAATCAGAAAGTCCTGAGTTCTAACCCCATTGGATAGTATTACTGAAGAGTCCCAATCTGGGACGAAACAGTTGTCCAGTACTCCCAGGTTTTTTAACTGATGTCAGCTCACGGCGTAATACATATATATTTATAGAAATAATGACTAAAATGGCATGAAACTGTTACACAGGATACCTTTCTCTGACGTGTAACAAAATGTCTCCCAGTTTTGCATTGGAGTGTCTGTCAACAGAGTAGTTAAACCACATTTTGAGCCTATACTAATATTCACCATCTGACAACTCACCTCTTTAACACGCTTTTTTCTGAGTAACAGCACATTAAGGCACAATTTGATGAATTCAGATCAAATTCATTTTCCAGAAACACTCTTTAGCCAATCCTACTCAAATTTTGATAATATTAATTAGGTTTGGTAATAAAATCACAACAGCTATATTTATGAATATTATTTATATTAATAATAACATCGATATTATTATTACAAGCTTGACCGATGGAATTCAGTCTGCACCAAACAAAAGGACTAGAACACATTACACTAGTCTAGTTACTGACTAGCGTTCGATCAAAAATATCCAACACAGTCCTACAGCAGGAAGTCAATTGTGAAACCGAATAGCTCAGTGGCGACCTCTCTTTCAATGCAGTACTCACTGGTTGACACGGGTTCGAATCTCAAAAGGGATATGAGTTCCTTCAAGGCGGTTGCAGATACGTCTTACTGACTGATGAGTGTCAACTAGCACGAAACCTAGTTCAGGCGATTGATATAAGAATAGAACTTGTGCACTGTGGTAGAGTATAATTCCATCATGAGTGAAACTTATTTTGATAAAGTCACACAGTGTTATACAGTAATATTTACTGATGACAACGTTTCGAGCACAATTTATTGCTGCTCATAATCATATGAGGTTATTCACACAACTTTCCAACCTCGTTTATATAATTCCGTTATTTTTCATCGCTTGACTTGATTTGTAGTAGCAGTATTTTCCATATTACCAGTATGATAGATGAGTCATCCGATAGTCAAAGATTCAGTAATCAACCTCTCTCTCCACCTACCTATATTACTTTTTAGAATCTTAACCCTTTCCTGCACTATTGTATGGTTGTGCGTTAATGCCTGCAGTGCTATTGCTGAGCTTTTTTCTAAATTACTAATCATCGTGGCATCAATCATTCTATCCAAATGAACTGTCGTCAAGATTTCACAGAATAGTTCTAAAATATTTGGGCGCCGAGTGAGAAGTAGACATTTGTAAAAAATTATATTCGTAAAATTTCAGCGATATTGAAATGAATAATTCCAACGTTTCGTTTGGCAATCTGGTCCGAACTTCTTCAGGGAAATTAATCGAAATTAACATAACAGAGGTTTCACTCTCCGTTGTCTGCCACAGAATGCGTATCCTAAGTCCGTAGCTGTCCAGTTACCTGACAACTCCAGTAGGTCGAATGAAGCAGCTCAATATTCAGAAAGAAGACAAAGTAATAAGTTTGACAGGGTGCTTCAACTAAACTCTAATCCTAAACACCATAATTTTGAAAATACGTCTAATCATAAAATTCTAGATACTAACAGTTTGAGCAGACATGGAGGTGTGATGTTAGCTGACGTATAGGAAATCCTGATTAATAAATAGGAATGGATATGTATCACTAACTAATAATACTTGGTCAAAGTTCCCGACTGTCTATTTCTACTTATGGAGACGTTAAGAAATTATTTTACAACTGTTTACCCCCCCCCACACACACTGTGTTTAAAGTGTTTAGCAAAGGTAGATCAATATTTGTAAGTCCGAGGTCGAATTTTGACCATAGCTCATACAATTTTGTTTATTATACTTGTTAATACTTATTTTATGACTCATATGATTGGACAAAGTTTTTAAAAACAAGAGATGTTCTTTTTATACATAAACCTCTGTTATGTTAATTTCGATTAATTTCCCTGAAGAAGTTCGGACCAGATTGCCGAATGTACGAAACGTTGGAATTACTCATTTCAATATCGCTGAGATTTTACAAATATAATTTTTTACAAATCATTCTATCCTTTGCTAAATTCTTATGTCCTGATAATCTCACTGCTCCTGATCCACTACTTTGACCTGTGTAGTTGACCTCACTCGCAGTCATTGCAAGGTATTTTGCAAATTATATTATTTTGTTTAATTGGGTCCACCCGGTCTTTTAGCCTACAGAACTTGTCTTTGAGTGAGTTTATAGGTTTGAATGCCTATCTGATTCCTTCATTATTAAAAATCCTACGTAGGGCCCCAGATGTCCCCTCCTTATATGGTATAATAGTAGATGCGTTATCATTATATATTATATTATCATTTTCACCATTATTTTTATTTTGCTTTTGGCCTTTTCTGATCTTCCTAATGAATTTTATAGGATAGTTATAGATATGATAGAGAAGATTTGTAGCTCAGGTGGATGATTTTGATGTGGTTTTGTTCTCTGAGAACAAAAACGCACAACCATACAATAGTGTAGGAAAGGGTTAAGATTCTAAAAAGTAATATAGGTAGGTGGAGAGAGAAGTTGATTACTGAATCTTTGATTATCGGATGACTCATCTATTATACTGGAAATATGGAAAATACTGCTACTACAAATCAAGTCAAGCGATGAAAAATAATGATGGAATTATATAAACGAGGTTGGAAAGTTGTGTGAATAACCTCATATGATTATGAGCAGCAATAAATTGTGCTCGAAACGTTGTCATCAGTAAATATTACTGTATACCACTATGTGACTTTACCGAAATAAATTTTACCCACAGTTCAGACAAGGCTTCCTCTTCCGATTGCCTTCCAACCATTTAATAAACCGCATTCTAGATATGTATTCATCTACATCCTCTAACCCTAACTCGAATCGATTCTAATATCTACCATAACCGGTTAACCCTAACCTGTTCTCATCGTGTAAACGTTAACTTATTCTTCCCCAAACCTAACCAAAGACATTACCGCATATCCCGTTTAATATCATAACACTTCATCAATTATAATATTCTATTCATGATTGTTATAGTGTTATTTACCCGGTTTCATTAACTTTCTGGTTGACTGACTGAGTGTTCCAACGTCTTTGGTGTTCTCTAAGCTTAACTTCACCGTTTGGTGTTACATTTTGGATACTATATTGTATATGCTTTTTTTTGAATGTTTTCGACAAGCTCTAAAAAGACCGGTATCTTTTTTATTTTAGGTTTTTGAATGTGGTCAAGCCTATGTGGCACTGAGTCGTTGTCGTAATTTAGATGGTTTACGCCTACTCGATTGGCGTCCAGAAGTAATACGTGCTGATCCAGCTGTGATTAAATATTATGAAGAAATTAGAAAACCTAAAGATAATAATAAATTTGATGATGATAATGAATACCTAATGACCAAAAAGATTCGTTAACTCTTTTTGTAATTTATTCTACAACCAATCCATCCAACCCCCAAAATGTAACTTGACACATTTTGGTATTTGTACATACTACTTAATTGTGCATATTGATCACACTTGATCTTTTTTTGATCTTATTTGTAAAGATGATCATGAACTATGAATATATGTTTATTATGATTAAGTTAAATGTCTTAACTACCTGGGTTTCTAGTGCAAAGTCGTGAATTCGTAACCGGAGGGGTGAATTTTGGAAGAGGGGGCGTATAATTATAGGATTGGTAGGCAAATAAAGTAAAAAACGTTGCAAAAAATGGTGTGAAATTTGATAATCTATAATTTAATACCGCAGAAAAAAGTACTGGTCACTCTACCTCTACAGTCTGCGCCTTTTAAGTCATCTACAAGGCGAAAAATAATTTGCCCAAATCACTACGTATCCGACTCATTTGTATTACTGAAGTCTTGGCCATCGACATACAGAAGCGAGATGTCTGTATACAGAAAAAGTTCGTTCAACTCTTCCAACTTAATCTTAATCCCTCCCTCTATGCTATAGAGTATGACGATCCCCAGTCATATTTTGGTTCTACTTATTTTTCGTTTTTTATACTCTTTCTTTATTACGTCAATTATTGTCACTACTATTCTCACTTTAAACTGTCCCAGGTATTATTTCACTAGTCCCGCTTGTCATTCTAAATCAGAATTCTTTTTTGCAATGTAAAATTCTGTTATAGAATTTCACACCATGTTGTGTAACGTTTTATATTTGCTTACTGGTCCTATACCTATACATCCCCCTCCCAACATCTATAAATCCTATGGATTATTCTCGCAGAAGTTAGAATCAACGGGCCTGTGGCTGAGTGGTCCATAGGCTTGGCTTGTAAATCAAAAGGCCCTGGGTTCGAACTCTGGCGGCAGGTGCGTACTGCCAAAGGGTCCCAGTGTGAGGAGAAGGAAGAGGACGAAACAGCCGTCCAGTACTTCCTGCTGGTTTTCCAGTGGTTCTCTAACCTATGTCAGCGTATGATGAAATCCTGTCAAACTTTTTAACCTTTCAAAATAAATAATAATAATAATGACAATCTACTTTATTCCAAAAACAGTACTTATCATACAGAATGAAGTTTTCAGCATTTGTCACAATATTGCATCTAATTTACTTAAAATATAAATAAAATTAAAACAAAATTAACCACAGGAATTTGTCCACATTTACGATGTAAAGTCAAAAATATTCGAAGTACGAAATGAGAATGATTAATAATAATAATAACAGTGAGTTTGTTTCAACAAGTATTGTCGATTCAGTTTGGAAATTTAGCATGTTACAGAATATTGAATCTAATGTTCTGTTGATAGAGTATAGTGAGGGGAAATACAAAATTAACAGTTATTCACACAGCTTAAATTATGTCACACTTATGAAAAAATAAACAAATAAAAACAAGAAATTGAGAGGATTATAAATGATTTATTTATTAGTGCAAAGAAGGTTAGTTAGTTCATGTCTGACACTATTTTCATCACATAAAGTACGTGCCGTGAAATATGGTATAGTGGAATTTTTATACTTAGACGTACGTACATAAAGTCTTTTGAAATAACTTCTTGTTTTAGCTGAGGAGATTCAAGGTTGAAGTTGCGGGTAGAGTGGGTGTTCAGAGTCTGACAAAAATCCTTTAGCAAATTTATTGCATGAATTAAAATGAAATTTCGGTATGCAATAGATAGTGATAATACTAATAACAGCTCTAATTCTGCAAAGTACAATTTAGACGATACACAGAATTTTCAGCGAGTTTCACATATGAAAAAGAGAAGACGTTCAGCGAAGAGACTCTTTTCGGCGAATTCATTGACATAGCTGTACAATCGCCTTTATATATAATTATTTGTGCGTGTGTACATGAGGTTTGTCAAAATTAGATAATTGACCAGGTAATAAAAGAATGATCTAATATAGAAACAAGGTTAATTGGACAGCAACTAAAGTAAGATTGAGTTAGTAAGTTAGATGACGTAATACAATTGACTAAAATGTTTTAACTTAGGTCAGGTTAGCAACAGAGGTAATTACATCACATAGCAAGGGATTTACTCCTCGTGCAGAATCTTCCAAATAATAGAATAACCAAATAATGCATCATCTGAAGCAGTATCGTTCCATCAGAAACCTCCTTCAATACTCCTCCTCCTCAATGTTGTTCCTCCATTTCATTTGACGATTTCCTAGAGATAGGTAGACACCTATTTGAAATTGAGGATGAGGCTGCTCATTGTGATAAATTATATCATTAAAGCAGTATGAAACGGAGTAAATACAATAAAACTAAAGAAAACGTCTGAAAAGGTTCATTTGGCCCCCAAATAGATGCTGATACTCAACCTAGAATTTAAAAGCGATACCGAAGCAGAACTTCTCCGTAGACGATTTTCGAAGTTTCTCAGTGAAACATACTTTGCCGCCAGTCTACGAGTGACATTTTCCTGCACGAAACTATTCAATCAACATTTGAAAGATAAGCTGTCACAATGAACTACTTCAACATGCTTATACCAGTTCACTTGCTAGTGCGGAGCCGAGTACATTAGCCGTACCATGCGTCGTCCGCTTGTAAAACGCGCTCAGGAACACTATCCAGAATAGGTTAGCAAAAGGGAAAAGCAAGGGTGCATACAGTTCGATAAGAGAACATCTAGTGAATTCAGGACATTCAGCTCCATTTGAAAAGTCCTCCAAAGTCATACACAAGATCCGGTCAAGTCTATCAAAGAGAGTGAAATCAGGGCATCTAGGAGTAGCTGAGGCACTGATGACGCATAAACTCAAGTCGACGTTATGTGTTCAAAAGAAATACGTCCAACCTTGGCTGTCATAAAAAGTCAGTCCCACAAATAATGATTAACCTATTACCCTTCTGACTAACTGACAGACTGGTTTCAACATAGAACTTCGCACCGATGTGCAATAGTTCACTTAGCACACAATGCCAGAGAAGAAAGTAAACAGAAATGCAAAATAGAGACAGTAAACAGAGATGTGAGGCAAAAAGAAAGGTAATATCGAAGAACAATAGAGTTTCACTGGGTTTTATAAGCCACAAGGAGTGGATGCATCTGCGCCATTCAGTACGATTTTGAGCTTCATAACCAATTTTCTCCAGCTTTCATTGGTTTTTACCGTCTCGAGAACCCCAACCAGGAAGTGTACACCTCCCTACGTGAGTAGCTTAAACTAGCTGTTGTGGATCTCATTGACTGATGAAGCCATGTTTTAGTTTGACCACCACTGTCTCTTTTCCAACCTGATCGGTCCTATGTCAGCTGACATTTCCCATCGAGGAAGGTGATGGCTAGACATACACGTAGTATATGTCCTAACCGTCTCAGTTGATGCAGCTGCTTCACAGCCTCAACGACTGATTTCCCCTCCTTACCTAGCACTCAACGCCAAACCTCAATATTACTCACCCTATTATACCACTCCACACGGAAGACAGAACGCAGACAACTATGATCAAAGACAGCTAGCCGGCCTTCTCATGTCTGCTACTCTCAATGGCCAGGTCTGACTCACAGCCATAAAGGAGGACGGATCGGACTGCTGAGCAGAACACACCCTTTTCTCGACAGCCAGCTGCATATCACGTCTACGCCAGATACGGCGTAAACTGGATTATGCTAAACTAGTCTTCTGTCTCAGTGCTGAGATTTCGTCAGCGATCAACCCGTTGGCGTTGTCTGATGCCACTCCCCAAATAAGTGAAGTGGTCAACACGCTCTACCACTTTACTCCCTATTTCTATGTACTATCACCTTTCATATCCAACCCTCCTGTTTATTTCTGTTATTTTTACATTTTTAATTCCTATTCGCATTACTAGATTTGGTTGTTCTTATTTTTACACATATCCGAACTTCCTACCTATTTTGTTATTACTAACGTCCTTAATCTGTAATCTGTACAAACAGTCAAATTTTTCAGTAATTATGACCTTATTATATCTTTATTACACTTTTTTACTTTATTCAATTTTGTCTTTGACCTGAAATATTTCTAGAATATTATACTACAACTTATCTATCTATCTATCTTATCATATTCTATATCCAGTCCTCTTGTTTATTACACTGTGTAATTTTATTAGTTTCACCTTTGACCTGAATTAGTTCTGGAGCTTTCTCATCCATTTATTATTATAAATATATATAAATGTACAGCCTAGATGATGACTTCGTCGAAAAGAAAATTTTCTTCGCTGTAACCGTCTTTTTATCAAATACAATAAATCTTTGACGAGTTGATCACGGTTTGATATTAGTTAGAGAACCATTGAAAAACCAGCACTGGAGTACTGCCAGACAGCTGTTTCGTCCTACTGGTTTGGGAATCGTCGGCAGTACGCACCCACCGCCAAGGCTCGAACCCAGGGCTTTTTGGTTACAAGGCAAGCTCGTATACCACCATTCAGCCACTGAGACCCACCCGATTCAATAGCCAACCCATGAATTCTAACTTCTACCAATTCTATCAACTCGTAAAAACAAAACTAATCCTTACAAATCAACTATAGAAAATTAATCTGATGCTCTCTAGTTACTTGCTACAGAACGGAGTTTTCTGGAGTTCTAGTGAGAAGTCGTGACCAATGAGGTCCATCCAGTCAAGTATGACATTGGTTGGTGCGCAGTCGCGCTAAAATCTAGAATTCATAGAAGTACGAATTCATGGACTGGCTGTTGAATCGTGTGGGTCCCAGTGGCTGAATGACCGTATACGAGCTTGCTAGCCTTGTAACCCGAAGGTCCTGGCTTCGAACTTCCTGGCGGTGGGTGCCTATTGCCGATGGATGATTCCCAAACCAGTAGGATGAAACACCTGTCTGGCAGTACTCCCTCCAGTGCTATTTTTCAATGGTTCTCTAACATATATCTAAACCAAAAATGTAAGGCAAAACAAAAAAGAAAGTAAAACACATTGCATAATAAACAATATCATTTTATGTATTGTGTTAAGTAGAGAAACAAACGACCAAAAAAACAACGTCAGGGAAGTGAATAAATTTATCTCCTATGATATATATATATATATATATATATATATATATCTGAACAGGTAGAAAAAGAAATTACTTGATTACAATTCATGTTATTTACTGTATGTATGTATATATGTACTGTAGAAATATAGAAAGAAATTCACAGTGTAAAAACGCTTAATGTTGACGAGTAGTAAACACTCTTCCAACATCATCATTATCATCATCACGAAGATATAAAAGGACTAACAACCGTCAATTGTGTATGCATGAATCAATGATGAGTAAATTGGGAAAAAAAGTTACACCCCTAATAGATAGAAATAGAAAAAAAATCAATATTTATGTGTAATAATAATATAACAAAGGACAATCTTCCCATTTTAGACATACATCAATCATTCATGTGTTGCTTCCTATATGTATATATGTACAAAAAAAGGAGGAATTATGTCATCAAGATGTTCGTCGGATAAGGAGATAGTTTTTCTCGGAATACTCTCAGTCAACAATGATGAACAATATGTGTGGGACAGTGTATGTATGTAGTGCAAAAACACAAATGACTTACCTTAGACAATACACACTCGCACACATACAAAATAAATATAAAATTTATAAGTCAGTATCTCTTGAAACTCCACTTAAACGTACATAAGGTGAAGTACCTCTAAAATTTCTATTCATCATACAAGGATTTCTATTACTAGCAGTACTATTACTATTATTCCCTGAACTTTTTATCTGTCCATTATGTGTTGTTGTTGTTGATATTGGTATTGTAGTTGCTGGTCTTTTCGGTGTTGCAGTAGCAGTTGTTGTTGCTGTCTTAGTCGTTGATGATGAATCTGATGAATCCTGCGTTGATTCATGTTTATTCGGTAAAAGAATTGGTTGAGAATAAAGTGTTTGTTGAACATAAGCTGTTGGTACATAACCTATGTCAAAGGTATGGGGCTGGTACTGTTGCTGCATACGACAAACATGAAGCCAATCTGTGGTATCTTCGGTTGGATCACTGGATAGAATATAGAATTTTTCATTTGCATCAAAGGCTAGATAACATGATTCAAAGCCATCAGCTGTAAATTTATACAAAGAAGAAGGAACACATATAAACAGTGACATTAATAATAATGATAGCTTTATTATGCACAATAAGTTTACAAAATATGTGTTATGTACTCGTCGCCAAATTATTCCTATGTACTGGTCGAGAATTTAATAGTCCTGACGCAAGAAGACGGAAATCAGAAGACCACTAGGTTTGTGATGATACTTCCATTTTCCAAACACAAGGAGAAGCAATAAGTGGTATCACACCAAAGTAGAGTCACACAAGATTGTGAGAGCGAAATATATATGAATGTCCAGACAAGTGTGTGAACAAATCAATAGACAGTCTTAACATGAATGGCTAATTATAATGGAGTGTCGATCCATATATACATAGCAAAATATAGCAGACATGTCAACACCCACACATATAATATGGATATATGTCACCAAGCAACGGACTGTCAACAAACACTCATATTATATATAATATAAGGGGAATATACATTGTTAAAGGAGACAGGTTCATCAAAGTGAAATGGTCACAGACTAAGCGAGCAAACAGAAAGAGAGATCACCATATATATATATATATATATATATATATGGATACATATCAATATGCATAATTTTTCCCAGCGTAGTTGATTAGCAGAATATTTACTTTCCATCCAGGAGTTTCAGTGCGTCAATGGCACAGCGGCATAATGCTCGCTAACCATGCAGGTGGTCCGGGGTTCGATCCACGGTCGACGCATTCCTTTGTACCACTAGGCCAGTAATAAGACTGGTAAAGAGGGAAGGTTGGATATGAGGCTAGCTAGCAACCCCATCCTGTAAAAATAAATACCACTGCTACCGAAACTTCATGTCTTTAGCTTGAAGCTGTATGTTCCACTGGGAACGTAAAGAAATAAAAAAGAGGTTTCAAGTGAAAAACAGCCATCTCTAGTACATCATGTGACGCAGTGTGATGTTAGATCTGAAGAATAAAATAATCAATTACGGTATTTATTCTCTAGTCCTACAGAAATGCTCAACGATAGGCTGCTTCAAACCAATCAGAAATGTGTACTAGTACATTTGGAGGCCCTTGGATATAACTGAATGATTATAACAAAAAGAACTAAAGAAAATAAGGATGTATTGTCTCGGCTGGAAATTCAAGGTGGACCATCAGTACAGAATATAAATACCCTTTGGTTGGAGGATTTCATCATGAGCTGACATTAGTTAGAGGACGATTGGAAAACCAGCACAGCTGTTTCGTCAGCCTAGTTTGGGACTCTTCATCAGTACGCACCAACCAGCACGGTTTGAACCCAGAACCTTCTGGTTACAAGGCGAGCTCGTAGACCACGAATTCTAATTTCTGTCAACCCATGGTATAGCGTGACCACTCCGCAATGTCTTCTTCGATGAGTTACTGCTTCACCTTCAACCTGTTGTACCCTACTGGCCACAGCTTCCCACTAGAACCTCAGGTTACTGCCTGAATAGGACCAGTCGCTAGTGAGCATGAAATGAATTTCCAAGTATTGTAACCAGAAGGTTCAGGGTTCGAATCCTATATGGTGAGTGCGTACTACTTCTGAAAACTCCCAAACTAGGACGAAGAAAACAGCTGTCTAGTACTCCCTATCAGGTTTTCCAATGCCACTCTAACTGATGTCAGCTCATGATGAAATCCTCCATCCAATCAAACAAACTAAATCCCTACAAAAAACGAATACTTAAATACCCTTTATTAAAGTAGTCATAAATTCAAATATTAAACTATCTACAAAGCGTATCGTAAAGGTAAGTTAAGGAATGATATTCCTCATATATCTGTTGCTTCATTCCCTTTTTCTAACGTTAATGATAATAATAATAAATAAATATAATAAGTAAATAACAGCTTTATCCTCAAAGAAATGTTTACACAGCATACAAAATTCTCAGCGTAATTTATTACGTAATATTTTCGCCTCATCCACAATCTTCAGGTAAAAAAAACAAACAGCAGCCGGTTGTTTCGTCCTCCTTCTTTTGAACTCCTTATCAGAAAGCATCCACCGGTAGCATTCATACACAGAACCTTCCGATTACAAGGTGAGCACTTATACACCACACCATTCATTATTCAACTACTGAGATCCGATCCAATGGCGAACTCATGAATTCAAACTTATGATAATTTGCTATATGTGTATATAGCTCAACCACCAGCCAATCTCACAGGCAAACAACTGCCCAGTACTCCCAGGTTTTCTAATAATTCTCTAGCTGACAACAACTCATGATCAAACCTGTTAAATTATCGAGTCACATACACCTAAATGGTATTGTTAACACTTCGAATGGGACGAACTAGTACCTGATAGAAAAGTTCTCTTTTTTCCTCTCGCTAAATTAGCTAATATACCTGTTGTTGTGTATATATACACACACTGGTGGACATAGAACATTCAATAATTATTAAGCTAAATTGTATCAAAAGACAAAATAACTAACTGTCTTAAAAACTAGTTTACTAGTATACAAACAAAAATCAACCTTTAAGATATGTCAAAGTTATACCACACTATGAAAAAAACAACAACCAATCCTTCAAAGGATACATAAGTAACGAAACAAAGAACATAAAGAAACAAAACAAGAAAAAAAACTGTACCAAACAAAAGTGAAAATTTCTCTTTATTGTTGTTAGTATTGTACTTGAGCTAGTTGGGCTTCAGTATACCAATATACACACCTTAAGTATTACATGTCTGTGTGTCTATCTGTGGGTGTGTGCGTATGCGTGAAGTATAGAAAGCATGTCTATAAGAGTGAATAGAGAGAGATAGAAACACGACAACAACAACCAGACAATCTTAATCAAATTATACTTTAAAAGTGAATTTATCAAATCTAGAATAACTGAACACGTATTTTTCTGGACAAGTAGGAACGACGGTTTCTTTGGTAACGGACTTAAGGCTTTGGTTTAGTTCCATTATAATATCATCTGTTCTTTCCTTTATAACCGTATTGGAGTAGTTTTCGAATGGTGTTCTTTCGTCTTCAGATAACTCATAGAGAACGTGGGAGTTTTTTGAGATATTCTGCTCTAGCTCAGGTAGTTCTGATCGAATTGCATCGATGTGATTCAGAACGTGTCGTTTCAGTGTCTGTCTGTCTGTTTTCGACATAGAACTTTGCACAAATGTGCGGAAGTTCAGTGTACGTGTAACAACAGAAGACAAGGGCTGGCAACAGATAGTTTTATTACGGAAATCAACACGTATTTATATATATTTCATGTACATTATTATAGTTTATGCAAGCAGACAAACGCGGGCTTCTGATTGGTTGTTTCGGGTAACATCGAAAAGTGGAGCCATCTATCTGCGAATCATATTTGGCCACGTTAAGTATGCTGTGATTGGTTGTTGAACCAGTCTTGTTTATATTTTCTCACGGCCAATATTAGTGACCTAGACATTGACGTAGGTTAATGTCTACCAATTGGCTAGCAGCCTGCGCTCACCACATACGTGAGTTAGGCGATATGTGATTTCGTCTGAGATGTTTCCAGAATACTTGGGGATATTCAAGCTTGCTGCGGCGAACGCAAAGATTTTCTTCTTGAAGAATTATCTCGAGAAACATGAATATCCTAAAGTATTCTGGAAGCATCTCAGACGAAATCACATATCGCCTACGTCACGTACACTTAAAAGACACACTGAATCAAATCGATGCAGTCCGATCAAGACTACCTGAGCTAGAGCAGAATATCTCAAAAGAAAAAACTCCCACGTTCTCTATGAGTTATCTGAAGATGAATGAATATCAGTCGAAAACTACTCGAATACGGTTGCAAAGAAAAGAACAGATGATATTGTAATGAAACTAAACCAAAGCCTAAAGTCCGTTACCAAAGAAACCGTCTTTCCTACTTACCCAGAAAATAAACATGTTCAATTATTCGGATGTTCCATTATCTCCAATTCAAATGCAAATCTAGAATACCAAAAGTCGTCCTGGACAAGTTAAACTTTAATCACCACTAACTACCACACAAATGGCAGTGATGGTGCGGTGGCCGCACCATTGATCTTGAATGGTTCAATGTGTTTTTTATTCACGTGAGCTGAGGTGTCTATTCCGCCTGTTTCGAGTCAAATGCCTGGTCTGACACATTTGCGTGTGCAATTTGGTGAGGATCAAGTCTTCACACATTGCTTAGATGTAGGGTTGATTTAGGAAACAAAAAGATTTGTTCATGTAGAGGTGTGATAACTATAAACATATGCATCGCTGTGAAATTTGTGTTCGAGACGAGTTAATGTCAGGGAAGGTAAGTTGATGATTCTAATATTTCGTATGAACATTTTCTTTCCCAGATCCCGTCTTTCCTTCACCCAGATCCTTGCCATCCCTTGGATATATTTTACCACAGAGTCAACCATTCTAATAATCTTGTGGATCCCATAGCAGGGACCCACACCAATTCTATCGAAGGCTTTTGGGGACGGTCAAAAATCAAGGTCCTTATTGCCCATTGTCCTTATAAAAATAATGGTAACAATTATACTTATAGGTCGAATTAAAACTTATTGTATTTACATACATTATTTTAAACTCAAACTTGGTCAAATATCCATATAGGCGCCGAGAGATACGTGGTGGTTCGGTGGCTATTACTGAATTGGTGAATATGAATATCCACCTTGATTCCACATGCACAAGGATCAAAAGGAATATGAGCCACTTTTGGTCGCCAGTAACTATGGGAACGTGTTACTCTCCTGTCATGTGAATCATATATCAAAATGAAACACCTCAGGGGGTGAATGATTCCTTAAGACAATCATCTGCGTCAGTTTCAGTCTTGGCATCCGAGCCATACCCTACCCTTCACACAAATCGATAGGAACGTATTTGGAGTTGATAGTATCGATGTGTTCTACCATGATGTGGAATTGTTGAAAAATTTTTCTCTGGTATTATAACAGACTGGAATTCCTTAACTTAATTCACAAAGACTTATTAAACA